AAACAAACGAGTACATGATTGTTATGCAATATGCTAACAGTGGTAGTCTTTTGTCTTATTTGGATCAAAATATTAACATATTAACGTGGTTGGATAAATTACGGCATTTGAATGATATTGCACGTCATCTATATTATATTCATGATTCAGGATTAGTGCACTGTGATCTTCATGGTGGAAACATAGTTATTGATGATGACAATTCTCGCTATACTAATACAGAATCATATATATGTGATCTTGGTTGTTCACAATCAGTGAAGTCACACAAATCAAATCCAACCATTCAAGGCACTTTACCCTTTATCGCGCCAGAAGTCTTCTGTACTCGAAAATTTACTCAGAAATCAGATGTGTATTCTTTTGGAATTATTATGTATTTGATTGCTACTGGTGAACCACCTCTTAGAAATAGACAGTTTAATGCAAGTTTAATGCGTGATGTTATGGATGGACTACGACCATCAATGCCTGATTCAGCACCAGAGGACTACAAGAAACTTGCTGTGCATTGTTGTGATGCTGATCCTGATAAACGTCCAGATGCACAGGGACTTTGTGATAATATTAGCAGTCTTATTTATAAGGTGGAGAATGACAACAGGTGGAATGCCATCTATCATACTGATGTCAAACCCTTGTCACATTTCGAAAAGGAGGGTAAATACTCTAGTAAGCTCTTACCTACAGGAGATCTGCAGTAATAAGTAAACTGAGAAACAGTTATGATTTGGATTCAGTTGCAGGCATGATAATGACAATAACAACAGCAATCAGTTACAAATAAAGTCTATTTATGATATTAATATTAACAACATCAATTGTCTTATAATTAGTGACTCAAAAATTTGAACAAACTCGCAATTTATGACAGCCAAGTTATTACAATTCTATTTCTGCATGATGTATCCATATTAATATACTATATACAGTATATTCATAGAATTCCAAAAAATAAATTTATCAGTTCAGTTGCTTTTCACCATTAATATTAACCAGACAAAGTGAATGTAAACTACAGGTTTTTTGTTAGATAATATTCTCTCATACTCAATGTGGCATTATATCATAATTGGCTACAAGTATTGATACTAATACAGATACACAGGTAGCAACATTGTAATTGGGGAGAATAGCAAGTTCCTAAAATTTCCATAGAAGTTTTCAGTATTCACATTTTTAGTATGGACTTTAATGGCCAATGGTGATGTATCCATAACAATAAATCAATTGACTTTCAATGTCAAACAATGTAATGGATGGCTTGATCTAATCCTTAAATATAAAAAGTGAATACAACTACTCACAAATTACCAAAAGGGTTCAGTCATATTGACAAGTTTACTATGCTAGTGAATTAGAATATGAATAGGCATCACAATTTATAAATAACAATGCTGATTTTTTTGAAAATGTAAAGAATATACTAATACACAACATTTGTGAGTGAATTTGCCGGAATATACTCTTTTTCAACATATATTTGACTGTTAGTTTATATTTAGACAATATAAAATGGCTTAAAGATCACAACCAGCACATAATAATAATTAGATTTACTGAGCATAAAAACTATTATATAATTTAGTATTAGTATGCAACTAGAATTAAATTTTGGAGCAGCAAAATTAGATGTTAAAACACATTATGACTTTATTGGAGTTTTGCAAGGATTAAATGGTAAAGTAAGGGATAAATTATATGCAGAGCTAGTACTAGCAGAAAAATCATTAGAGATCAAGACTGCAGATGAAAATTTTGAAAAAAAGGATGAGAAAATCAAGGAAATCCAAGCAAACCAAGATAAAAAAGTGTAAAAATTGGAAAAAACTAATACTAATGAGGAATTCAGAAAGTTGAAAGCAGACTACAAAAGAAAATTTACCACATTATTTAGAAAATTTTTACCTAATTTACCTAAAGAACAACATAAGTTCCAAGAATTAGCAACAAAGGTTAAGACCAAGTTTCAAAATCTTAATCTAACAAAAAGGTAAAACACCATAATAATAAGCAAGAAATGGAATAGACGTTAGAAATAAATAATTTGCACTTTAAATAATGAAAGAATTAAGATAATACTTTTAGATTTGCAATAAGAGTATAGGAGTAGAACTTGTGAAACAACAGATGTGCTAATCTAATAAAAACTTGTCATGAGATGACCAATAGGTTGATTGAGTTGATGAACCAAAACTGACTTGGATCTGTTTTGTAGTAAGTATACTTGTGACTGCAGGAAAAGAAAGAACGTCCTAATTTACTATTACCTAATCAAAAAAGAGCATGACCACTTTTTATGAGTGACAAATAAACAGATTACAAGAAGAATTAGTCACAGCTGAGAAAGCTTTAGAAATTGAAAGGAAAGAAGTAGCCAAATTTCAAGAAAAGTTTGAAGAGTGAAGTAAAAGACAAAAACAAGAGTTATCAGATAAGATAAAGAGTGTAAAAAAAAGTTAAGCAATTAGAAGGAAAAAACAAATTATTGAAGCGCCAACAGAATGATTAAGTCACTCAAATTGAAGTTAAAAGAGACTAAAAAATTACCTTGATTGAAAGTGAGAAAATAATTTAAAGATTGAGGCAAATTTGGTTATGTTCTACTTGTTCTACTTATAAATCAATTATTCTGACCAACAAGTTAATACAAGTAAACAAAAAATGTCTGATGCTTTGTTGATAATAATAAAAAAAACAATGTATATAAATTTTACACAAAACGCCAGAAAATGAAAGAGAAGCAGCTATTTGCTTTATATTCTTCAAATTTTCGTTTTTTTCTTGGCTCATCATGTGTTGGTGGTTATCAGTTATGCTCGTTTATGGTTTATTATTCTTTTCTCTTCTTCGTAAATTTCATAAGTGATTTCCCCCCCCCCGGAGATAAGCTTCCAGTTTGAGTATTATTTATTTTAAAAATGTAAAGTGCGATTTTTTCACGTTGTTCTCTCTTTAAAATAATTATAATAGTACTGTAATTTTTAGGTCCATGGTGAATCTGATATAAATTAGTTTTATACAAGCAATTTATACAGAAATATTCCTATGTTTATATGATTTCAAGAAATAAAATAGGATATTTAAAATTTGCTATTAATAGCATTGATAAAAAAAAAAAATGGTGTTGACCAATTGCGATGTCTGATGCTGTCATGTCGTTACTTTGTTTATTTATTGTGAGTATATATTGATTTCACTTCCCCAATGACTATATTAAGGGTTGTAGTAATATGTGATTCGGGTTAACAAGGAGATCATAATTTCCGATTTTGTTCTTTTATTTAAAGAGTCTGAATATAAATTACCGGCAAATTAATACATGTACTTTTGTCATATTATTCTTTAAAACAATACGTATAAGTACATTTATTTTGCATTTTCCACTAGAGCGATTGCATGGGAGGAAATACTCGGACCCAAAGCCATTAACGAGTACCCCATACTTTGGTCGCTCTAGCGAAATCTATTCTATATATTATTACTGATGTTATTAATGCCTTCTCCACTCCTCCTTTCTTTATCTACCCATCCTTGAATAGTTGTTTTTCGAGGGCTCGTTTTCGCAGGTAGAAGTTTTTTAACGTGGAGGCTTTCCTTTGTGTAATTCGCGGATTTGAGTGGCCACTTGGTTAAATGAAAAGTCCGAGTTCAGCTCAGATTTCGTATCGAATAGAGTTTTAAATTTTTCCACAAACTTTTAATATAAAAAAAATAATGTCGCTCACTGAGCGGTTTACTGGATTTACTGTAGATATTGCTAATTTTCTTTAATTCAACCGCTTGAATGATTATTTCAAGCTTTTGATTTATTGTCGAGTTGAATATATGTCTTATACGTAGTAGAGTAAAAGACCAAAGACAAGTCCGATCAATAGCCCACAAAAGAATTCAATGATGAAATCAAGCATTTGTTGTTTGCTTTTTTTTAGTATAATAGTTGTTTCAATAATGATGCTGAAAAGATTTGTGTTATTTTTATAATGAACCTCACCAGGTGCTGATCATATGACCCAACAGTAGTTTATTGATTAAAATATATAATTGTTAGACGTCCGTATAACGGCGCAGCGATATTAATAATAGTCGAGTCACTGATAGTTAACTCTTACGATGTTAAGAACTTTGTTCGTTTTGAAAACTCGGGGTTAGCACAACATGAGAGAGTGAATGTAATGAAGCAAACATTTGATAAACATGTTACACTTATCACTTTACATAATAATAAACACAATAAAATGCTTATCCTCCAACAAACGCATAGTCATACAAGATAGACTGTTTATGCTTGAGCAACAACAATTCACAAATTTGTAAGCATTACATTGGACAATACTAATTGAAAAGTCGGCTCATATTCAGCTATGTTCGATAAGATAGTCACTATGAAATCAAAAGGTCAATCCCTATTAACGTGTAGGTATTATGAAATCAACCTATCAACGTGTAGGTGATCGTTTTTATTAATGGAGATACAGTATTAGTAATATGCTACTACTATGCTTAAATCTTGGTAGAGAGGGGCTTGTTCGGATACTTTGCAATGGAACTGCCAAGGCTGTTATTGTTACCACTGTTTCGACTGTTAGGGAAACATCGGCTTTTGAACGTAGTTGAATCTTTGCGTGTTATTGGTCGATCTTTGAGTCTTCATTATAATGCCAGTTTAGATTCGCTGTAACGTGACACATCGGCGCAGTCTCAACAAACATCCCTCAGTCAAATCTCCACACCGGAATTCCCGGACCTTTTTTTTCCAATATATATCCAACTCCATTCGACTCTCCTGTTCTACTTACATGCTTGTTACCGTATTGTATTTTGTCCGCAGTCTCTCAGCCACCACCCACTTTCTGTCTTTAACTCGTCACTAATATTTGGAAACACATGCGCAGCAAAAGTATAGATAATATATAGACGTTCACGTTTAATTATAATATTCCGTTTCTATAACAACACAACTGTCCTATTACGTTTCTATCAGAAATAATTCACACAAAATGGGCCGCAAAGACTTTATTGAAGACGTCAGAAAGCTTAAAGAATACTTTCGCGGTTTAAACTCAAAAGCAAGCGCTTTAGTGAAAGGTAAGCCAATTATCGTTTCGACCGCTTCTTCAACAATTGTCTGCGCACGTACTTTTATTAACAAACACTCTGAACATCAAGGATTCGACTTCCAGGATCCAGAATTGAGCTTTCGATTCTCGCCTAAATTAGGAAGACCGTTTACTGTTAAATTCTATGTTAACGGTAATGATACGGCATAATGAATGAATCGTGTCTTTTGCATTATTGTCGCTGTGCCCTTCTCGCTCCGTTTAATGGCAGTTGGAAACGCAAACATTAACATTCAATTTAATCATTATCGATTAAATCTATGCGCAAATTGTTTTACTTTGTTCCACATCAAGACAACTCTCTGACATCGTATCCAGCGAAATTCAGCGGAATGTTGTGTGTGGATGACGCGAATGAAACAGCAAATGCCGCGGCTGGTAATTAACGAAAATAACTTGTCAATTCGTCTAGATGTGCCATATACTCACGCGCCATTATGTACTTTTTTTTTTTACGTAGCACGTTTACAAAAGATTCAAGAAGACCTTCACGACAAACCCGTTTCCTTGGTTATTGCCCGCCTTGTAAAAGAACTCTGCGATCTATTCAAGATGCAAGTGCCCAGGGATCTCCAAGTAAATGCGTTAAAAAAGTTTGCGCTGGCACGACCAACGCTGCTACCAGTTCCATCCGTATCGGCGTCCACGTCGACGTCGTCATCGTCAAAAACGGCCTCTACTCCTGCTACCATCTTGGCGAGAGATATTTTGGAAGCACGACATTTTAAGTAAGACTGATTTTTAATCAATATCTTTCTCCTCCAGAAAAGCGGGTACGACTCAACATTAATGCAATTATTCACTTGTAGCTATCACGCAGAGTTACTTTGCTCGGATGAAATTGGATTCAAGGTAGTCGTTTCGATTCCAGTCTCTAGACTTGGCCTGAGCTTTGAAGCTTATGAAGCATGGAATCTTATTCCTACGCGGTCGGTAGTAATTCATGCATTTTATAACACTGTCAGTAATGTCATCCGATTATAACTTTGAATCGTTTATTTACAATTAATTATAGTCATCTAGTATGCACGATACAATTCTCACCCAACTATATTGACTTGCAAGAAACAGTAACCAATGCACTCAACAAGAAGGCTTACTTAATAGGCGAGCGTGGATTTATAGACATCAAAGAGGAGTTAAAGAAACAATTTCCAGCACATTTCACAGTAGTCACCTCGGAATGTAAGCGAGGCATGGCTAGTCAAATGCAGAATAACAAAGAGGAAGTCGAAAATGATCACTTTATTCTATCATGGACACTAACCGAATTGCTGCGTAGCAAATTCTTTGACATGTTATGTGATCGCGTCTGGTTTGGACTAGGATGGGCTGGTGTCGAATATGCAGACATGAAACGCAACAAACAACATGTAACAGATTTTTTGAACCAAGAAAACGATACTTTTGCCGAATGCATAGAGGACTGTTTGCATCAGGATCAACAATACCACCAACAACTACGTCATCTTGATGAGGAAGAAGTGGAAGAAGCAACTGCGTCCACCAACCGCAATTTCCTTCTCCTGGTACTTAGATATTTGCGGCGACGTATTCTATTATCGACCAATTATTGCCTGACGTGTCATTACCCTCATACGGAATCTATCACATCCATCAGACCGTTCGTGTGTGGAGCGGCATTATGTCAACATCAAGCACTTGTTGGCCTGGGAAATCTTTTTGAAGCCGCCCTAGTAAATAGTCCCGTGGTAGTGGATCTATTAATATCACTCTGCTACGTAGCTCTATCAGCTCACAACTTGAATCCCTTTCCGTCCAAGGGAATCGGAGCTACTATTTCAACAAAGAGCACGGTTGAAAACTCACTCTACGTCGAGTGGGGCGACACACAGGGTATAATCGGTGGTACTACCGAAAGAGGATATGAAGCATACGGTTGGAGGACATTTGACAATCAAGTGCAAGTGAACGACCTGTTGGAAATTTACAGTCCGGAAACCGGTCAACCGTTTTCAGTGAATAGATGCAGTTCTCCGTCTGCCGTACGAGTTTTGGATGTGCAACCTCATTGTCTCGTTCTCGACTGTCAAATTGTTATCTCTTCGACAATTGCGCCAAGTAAGCCAGTCTATCTGCCGTTCAAAGTGTGTCGCCGAGAAGAGCTTAATTTTCTCAATCATGATGAAACACCTAATTACGAGTTATTAAAAGAGAAGATTAATTTGCTGCCGCCAGTCAATGAGATGGTGCAGTACGCTCAGAAGAATTCGTTAAAGGCGGATTTGGATAAAATCGATTCCCTATGTTTTCCTCTACTCTCGTGGATTATATCGTCTAATAGGACTCATCTTCGTCTGTTAGAGTCTGACGACGAAAAAGTGCAATATAGTGATCCTGCTAATACATACAGCAGCTGGAAGCAGTTTATTATGATTATGAGTTCACCTGAAAAAGAGGAGAAGTTTCAAAAGGAAAAACAAAGATTGAGAGATGAGAGGCGAGGGCAAAGTAAGTAATATAAGGAGACTATGTACTATTATGATAGGTCGATAATTCATGTCTAATATAATATTGCAACTTGTATCACGCCACGATTGCTTTACAGCGCTTGGTGAATTGTTTGCATTCCACGGCTCTCCATTGACTAACTGGCATTCCATTATTAGGTGACCATAATGATAATTTGTTGTCAGAATTTTATTTTATTTTCTGTCCCGCTAACACTAAAACTGATTGCTTCTCATTAGAACTTCGCTTAATTACAATAAAGTAACCCATGGAAGAGCGTTTGGCGATGGTGTATATCACTCACTCCAAGCAGCGACTTCAGCATCATACGCTCACAACAATTACTATGGGAGAACTGATGGCGGGTCTTGGAAAAATTCCTTACTCATTGTTCAAAAATGTATTGCGCTCTGCGAGATAGTGAACCGACCATCACAATTCACGAGGTTAGCTATAAACACGCGTTATTATTGGTTACTATTGACAATTACACACTATGACCAGAACTACACATTTATTTTATACTCGTTAACCGACTTAATGTTTTCCTTTACACTTTTCGAATTCAGCACAAGCCCTCATCTCGTCGTCAAAGACGAGTCTTGGATTACAACACGCTACTTGTTTGTAGATTGTCAACGAGATCCCTATGATCAACAAATTTCGGATGATGATGATGGCTTGGCATCCACGCCTTTGACGTCATTTTCACGCTCGCTTTCTCAAATGGCACAGAAAACGCGCAAGCAACCGGAGCGTATTACTCTTGATCTTCATTATTGCCCAGTGTGGCTGAATAATAAGGCTCTCCAAATTCCCAAACGTGATTTTGCTATAATTTCGGCCGCTACACCATCAGGCAGCAGTCATAGAAAAGGACAGTTTCAACACGATCAAAGCACGCTGTTGACTGCAGCTGGCGTTACGGGACATGAATCCAGCGGGTTAATGTTTGATGCAATAGATTGTGATACCGATTCAACTATTTCAGAGGAAGAATATTCGGATAATGGCGCGTTTTCAGATGTAAAAAAAGGAAAAGGCAAAGCTAAACAAGAGAGTGATGACGATGAAGAGGAGGACGACGAAGATAACTACGGCTCTGACGATGATATGGACACTGATGATTTTGCGGATACTATGGATTACGATGATGATATGTACTTTAGAGACGAACCGCAAAAGCCTCCAGTACCAGTGATCGAAATAGAAGGTGAGACTTGCGTGAAAAAAGTTGGCGCAAAGTTATGGTATAGTGATTAACTGTTTCTATTGTCTTAAACGTAGATGATGGATTTGATCCAACCTTGCTACCTCTTCCCGGTATGTATATAAAAATGTGACAGACACATCAAATGAGAACAATAGTAAATGATTCTCCAGACCGCTTGTATTGACATCATTTTTATTCTGTAGAGGAGTCTTCAACAACCGCCACTCGTCGCATTTGCCAAGAGTTGAGGGTGATTATCAACAAACAGGACGATGCATCAAACGATTGTGGTTTTTATGTAAATTTGGAGAAGCTTAAATCAGTTTATCAATGGGTATGTACTACGTTTCAAGTAAATTCACAAGTACGCTTCCCGCTAACAATTGCTGTCTATTGTCTTTGAAACAGGTTGTCGAAATCAGTAACTTTGATCCTTCTATACCGCTTGCACAAGATATGATACGCCACAAGGTAAAAGCCATCGAGCTAGAAGTAAGATTTGCACCTCAATACCCATTCTTGCCTCCGTAAGTAGATCAGACTGTCACTTTGACTTGCTGCTTTTGTCTCGAGGTGTGTCGATCATTTTCAAACTTTTTATCAATCACTTTAGGTATGTCCGAGTTATAAGGCCAAGACTGCTGAGGTTCATGGACGGTGGTGGCGGACACGTAAGTTGCTTAATTAACCGTCTTATAAAATTTATTCTTTTGTTAACCTCGGTATCAACCTTAGGTAACTGCTGGCGGATCGATTTGTATGGATCTGCTGACGCTCGGCAATGGTCGTAACGAGTGCGGTTGGTCGTCTGCATATACAATGGAAGCGGTCTTGTTACAAGTGAGTGGGAGAACGTAGGATCTTTTGAACAATAGAGAAAATTGATCTAATACATGTATATCTTTAGATTAAGTTGGCGTTAAGCTCTCTTGATCCACGACCAGCGAGACTCGATCGTCGATGGCAAAAGGATTACAGTCCAAGTGTAAGTCGGTTATGGGATCTTGTCAAGATGAACGTTACTCGTTACAATTTTAACACGCTTTCTTTCCTTTGACTTACAGGAAGCAATTGATGCGTATATTCGCGTGGCTAATCAGCATGGGTGGAAGATTCCTGACCAATGGCAGCGATTGTTTGGCCATTAGCCATCGATATAATTGTTTATATATTGTAGAACTCACATAATGTTTCTTTTTCTATCTGTATATTGTTGTTATAAAACATGTCTTTGGGTTTGTTGCATTCAAAAGGTTGTGAAAGAATAACAATAAAAGAAGTGCTTCTGTAGCATATTTTTTGACCTTGTCAAACTGGCAGAATTCACCTTCGTAGCTGAAGGAAGGTACGCGCGCTGTTGGCGTCTAGTTAAAAAGCAAGTTCTTGTCGGCCAATTAGGCTGATGCAACTAAGTACAGTAAATACTCCCGGGTCATTTGCCCGACAGTCACTTGCCCGACCGACAATCATTTGCCCGACAAAAATTTACCAAAAAAGGATAAATTTGAAATAATGCTGGTAAATATTTGTCGGGCAAGTGAACGGCTCCCTCAAAGAACATAGGAGTAAACGCGTTACAACACGTACCATTGGTTTCGCAGGCTCAAATCCGGGAAATACGCCGGACGGGAGTTTTGACATGATGAAACGTGTCTCCTATATTAATATCGGAACATCAATTAATCATTTTTTGGGCTGATCTCCCCCTAAGGGGCCAAGTTCTTGAACAACACTGCGCAACCGTAAGCTTGATTAAAATCACGGAGGAATACATCCAAGAATTAATTCGGAAGTTCTCTCCTGGTCAGAATGTCATTTTCCTCAGCGCACGCTAAGTGCACAGTTACAAATCCTTGTAACACCATCACGCAGAAATGTCTGGTGCACAATATAATCTTGCCTTGTGTTATGAGAAGGCAGAATGAATGAACAAAAGGCAGTTGGATGGCATCAAAAAGCTGCTGAACAAGGGGATGCTGCTATACAAGGGGATGTTGATGCACAATATAATTTTGCCTTGTGTTATGAGAAGGGATCTGGAATAGAAAAAGATGAACAAAAGGCAGTTGGATGGTATCAAAAAGCTGCTGAACAAGGACATGCCAGTGCACAAAACAATCTTGGTTGGTGTTATGAGAAGGGAACTGGAGTAGAAAAGAATGAACGAAAAGCAGTTGAATTGTATCAAAAACTGCAGAACAAGGGGATACTAATACTGATGCACGATATAATCTTGGTTTGTGTTATAAGAAGGGAACTGGAGTAGAAAGGGATGAACAAAAGACAGTTGAATGGTATTAAAAAGCTGCTGAACAAGGGGATGCCAATGCACAAAACAATCTTGCTTGGTATCATGAGAGTAGAAAAGGATGAACAAAGGGCAGTTGAATGTATCAAGAAGCTGCTTGTGCACAATATAATCTTGCTTGGTGTTATTATTTTGGAACCAGAGTAGAAAAGAATGAACAAAAGGCAGTTAAATTGTATCAAAAAGCTGCTGAACAAGGACAACAATCTTGCTGTATGTTATGGAGATGGAGCTGGAGTAGAAAAGAATGAACAAAATGCAGTTGAATGGTATCAAAAAGGACATGCTGGTGCACAATGCAATCTTGGTTGTTGTTATGAGAAGGGAACTGGAGTAGAAAAGAATGAACAAAAAGCTGTTAAATGGTATCAAAAAGCTGCTGAACAAGGACATGCATATGGTCAATATAATTTGGGTTGTTGTTATGAATATGGAATTGGAGTAGAAGAAAATGAACAGAAAGCAGTTGAGCTATATTACAAGGCAGCTGAACAAGGATACATTAGAGCATGAAACAAAGTTTACTTTTTTCATTATGATAATAAATCTATGTTAAAAGAAAAAGTGCAGGAATTAAATAAATTGTATCCCAGAAAAAAAGACAACTGAAAAAAAAGCAAACTTTTAAGTAGTTGCTATATTTATTATTTGTCAAAATAAAATCATTAGGTATGAGCTTTCCAGTTTGTTGTAATGACAAAGATTAAGTTTGAAATTTAGTAATCTTATCAATAATGAAGCTGTAAAGTTATAACAACACTCAGTGCGGTTTAAATATCAAGAGTAGGTAAGAATGTTTACAAACTAATCCTGCCTGAAGTGTTTAGACTTATAATTGATGATACGTTCAATTTTGCATAAAATTATGTCCATCCGCGAAGCATGATGAAATCGAATATATATAAACGGGTTATATACTCATAAATAATTGAAGCAAAAGAGATTCAATTTTTGTATCATAGACCCACTGTTAAAGGCCAATATAGTGTGAGGCGATTCTAATTCAGGTGTCAATAATGTGTTTGATAATTTATAATGTAATCATATTAATGCTGTCGGAAATTATATTATATTATGCATGAGTTTAAATTATACTCATTCAAAGAACTGCTGAGGAACAGCCAGAAACGTTTTAATTGGTAAATATTAAATATAGGTAACCATTGCATTTTTAATATTATTCTTTACTTAAAAAATATGTTCCCGTAGCGAGCATGAGTATCCGACCGCTCCTAGTTTGGAGCAAACGCTTTGAAAATTTTTTGCATAAAGTATATAACCAACCATGATCTCCTATATAATTTTAGCCCGACCGGATATTTCCAAAACATCGAAGTTTTTACCTAAAATGTTTCGCGATTCGACCATAAAATTTTAAAATTTTGTATCTCGGCACTTTTCTAACCAAATTTTGTGATATTTGTTTTACTGTACCATAAAATACATTTACATAATTTTAGAAAAAATGACAGTATAATTGCTACTACCAAATGCAAATAATCGTCGACATTACGATATTGATAAATAGTATGCGTGTTTGTTGCCAAGTACAACAACGCTTCTTTTAATTCGACCATAAATCTCGGGAAAAAAAAACGCAAAAATTGATTAACAAACAGAACAAAAAATATTACGCAAATTGATTAAACCATGTAGAGATATTGATTTTTGAAGTTTATGTCGAAATAAACGATGTGCAACTTTGATATGTTTTTATATTTGATATATACAGTACATAGGATTCTGTGCTTGGTATCAGAACTATGCCGATAGCGATAATTCGGGACTGGCACTTCCCATTGTTGCAGATGCCGCGTGCATCGCTACGGGCCCATTAAGACTATGCAGCAGCAATATTACGAAAGAGCGGCAACAGATCTTCGAAGCATATTATTCATCACTCGCGCGGAATAAACTGTCTTGCACGAGTTTCAGATATTTTCTTCAGTCGGAAGATTTCGAGCAGTTGTGGAATCTGCTTTTATTGCGTGAAATGATTATCACGTAATAACATTATCCAATGTCTTGCTGCATAGGTCATTTGGAAAGAATTTGTTTGGGTATGAAAAAAATGTCAGGGTGCAGAAATTGGTTTGTTCAGGAATGATTGACATTAACATCAAACCCATAAACTTTAGATACTTACTTATCAATAATAAAAAAGGCAGCCAACAGTAAACGTATACGATGTTATTTAACACGCATTGACATATTTGATTAGAAAAAAAGTAAAGTGCGAATTACAAGTTTATTCGAAAGCGTTTGTCACTAAAGCATAGTAGTGTAGACGATGCTGATATTGTAATTTATATGAACAGAAACGTAACCCTTACTTTTCGTCGACCTCCCCTAACTCGACCTCTAAACTTGGTAAGCTGAAATCTGATAATGGAGGTAACTGACAAGAATCGTGGCTGTTTCTTGGTTTAGGCAAAGCTCCAGTAGGTAAGAGTGTGCTGGAATATTTACTCTCCTTCTCGAGACGTGATAACGGCTTTAC